GTGTTTGGAGAAGAAAATCCCCGAAGGGATTTGTTGTGGAATAGGGATGTTTCTGCGGGCGGAACGGCGGGCGAGGCACCACCCGCCGGCCTACCCGCGGGTACATAGGCCTGTGGGGATGTGCTCCCGCGGGCGGGACCACGGGTGGGGCACTACCCGTGGGTCCACCCGCGGGGAACACAATGGTGTTCGTTCGGGATTTGTTCCCCGTGTTTTGTTTGTCTCGGTATTTGATCTTTTGGCTTCCCGATGTTCTTTTGTGGAACTATTTGAGTGTCTTCTTGATGTTTCGTAGGTCTAGAACTATATGGTAGGTATCCATGTAGGATCTTTGGTGTCTTTAATCGTGCTAAGTGTTCAACATTGTGTTTCGTTGAACCAAGAAGTGTCTTGTGTGTTCCTCGGAACTATCTTGAGTTTCCCCGTTGTTAATCATGCTAGTTCGTTGTCTTAATGCTAGCGTGGGTGTTGTTCGTACCTTCCGTTTGGTTGATGATAACTTGTGTTATTCATCGTTGTTGTCGTTGGGTTGTGACCCGTTCCTTGATTGAGTGTGCTTCATACCTTCTTTGCAATCCGTTGATTGATTCGTGTGAGTGGTGGTGCGTGTGTGGCTCTACCTGGATTGCACGATTAGTGGTTTGGGACACTAGTCACCAAGGTATTGCAGCGGTCCTCGTGGTGGCCGTGACGTGATTATGGAGTTGTGTTCCTTCGAGAAAGGTTCACGTGATTGGGGGATAACATTGTGTTATCCGGGCATGTGTTGCCGTGATTGGTGGTGGTTTGTTGGTGGTCTGTTGGTGGGGGACGACGGTCCCGGCGGAATAAGGTTGGACTTGGATGTACAGGGGATCTTGGAGGTAAAGGTTGGCTTGAAGGTACAAGGTTGGGGGTAGCCATAAGGTTGGAACAGGGCATAAGGAAGGCATACCAACTCGCGATGGGTGATGTTGCGAGGGCTTGTAAAGCCGGTGTTGTGTGATCTTCTCTCGTGACGTGTGTAGTCACGGAGGCTTGTGGTGTTTTGGCATGTGTTGCCATTGGGTGAGTCTTTATCCTTGTGTGTGGTTAACCTTTGTGGTTGGGATGTGTTCCCGGTGTTATCCTTGTGAGTGGTGAGTCTTGTGTTGACTGGTGATCTTGGTTTTTGACTTATATATATGTATTCCGTTTCGAAAATGGTTTTTATATCTTATATCTACCTATTTATGATACTTAACGGTATTGGTGGGTTACCAGCATCATTCGCTGACCGGGCGTCGCCCCGATGTTTATCTTTGTATCTTTCAGGTGTTGAGTAGTCGAGCGCGATGTCTAGAGGCTGGTAGCTTAGCACCTGTATCTTTAGACTGTGTTTTTGCGGCCTGCGCGCCAATGTTTTTAGATTGTTTTTAGATTGATGTTTTGGGTTAGTGTGATACACTTGCAGATTGTTGCCTTAGCGTTACCTAGTGTGGTATACGTGGCATAACACCCCTGTTTGGATTTATTTTATCCAGTTTCCATTTATCTTCCGCTGTGCTAGTTTTGTTGTTAATCTGCATGTGTTAAGACTTGTTTTTAGGTCTTGTTTTTGGGGGGGGGGGTGTTACATTTAGTGTAACTCACAACTGTAGAGATGTCGTGAAGAGATGTCTTTACCACAGAATTATGGCAAACATAGTCCTTTAGGTAAGTTGGAATCTGTTTTTGTCTGAAGGATTTTCTAGCAGGTTGTTTAGGCTCTTGGGGAGGGGAGTTGTCTGTTTGTTCAGGTGGGATGTTGTCTGGTAAGTTGATGTCTGATTCTTCAGGAGCCTGATTGTGAACCTGCTCAGGTAGGTGCTCAGAACTGTTATCAGGTTGGCAGCAAAAAAATGAGTCATCAGAAAACCTCATTGCAGTGTCATTTATAACAGGAAGTATAATCTCAGAGAATTTGTTCTTTTCTTGAGTAGCAATAGGCTGAAACGGGAATATGTGCTCATAGAAGGACACATCTCTGGATACAATTATCCTTTTTGTGTGCAGATCATACAGCTTATAACCTTTAGTACCATTGGTGTAACCCAGAAAAACACACTTCTGGGCTCTTGGATCAAATTTCAACCTGGGACCCAAGGTAGCAGCATAGGCTAAGCAACCAAATACTCTCAGATGTTGATACTGTGGAATCTTGTGAAGAAAGACTTGATAAGGTATCTGATTACTGATGGCAGCAGATGGCAACCTATTGATGATGTAAGCTGCATGTAATACACACTCTCCCCAAAAATACTCAGGTAAGCTTGCTTGGAATCTCAATGCCCTAGCAGTTGACAAGAGATGTCCATGTTTCCTTTCAACTCTGCTATTTTGTTGTGGAGTATAAGTACAAGAAGTCTGATGTAGGATCCCTTTCTGACTGAAGAACTCATTCATATAAAACTCTAGGCCATTATATGTTCTAATGCACTTCACATGAGTTTCAAACTTATTCTCAACCATATTGCAGAAATTTATGACCAGGCTTCTAACTTCAGATTTTTTCTTCATCAAGTATATCCATACTGCCCTACTATGGTCATCCAATATAGTGAGAAAAAATTGATGGCAATGGGGGGTGGGTACCTATAGGGACCCCAAACGTCTATATGCAATAAATCAAAGCAAGCAACAGAAATAGAATCACTGGGAGAGAAGGGCATTCTTTTTTGCTTAGCAAAGTGACAACAGTCACATGGCAAGTCTTTATTCATATGAATTGTGGAGTCCACCTTATTCAAACACTGTAGTTTAGAATAGGAGGCATGTCCTAGTCTAACATGCCACAAAGTACACTTATTCACATTTGAAGTAACACTGTGTACAGAAGAAAAAATATCAGGAAAGCTCAAGTAGTACAATCCATTCTGAAGTTCAGCCAATCCAATCATATTGCCATGGACAGCATCCTGTATTATGCACTGGTCAGTATGCAACTTCATGGTGTAGTTGGAGCTCTTAATGAATGCCCCCACATATATCAAGTTATAGCAGAATCCAGGAATATATAACACATTATACAAGATGAATTCGTCATAAAGATGGACAGTTCCAATGCAAGAAATGGCAACCTGCTGTCCATTGGGTAGTTTAACATGCATATTGTAGATTTCTCTGGGATTGGTTAACAGCTCCTTATGACACACAATGTGATGAGTAGCACCACTATCTAGTATCCACATATCTTTGTTATGACTAGCAGATTTATGAGAGATGGCAGTACCTTCCATCTGGTTAACTGAGGCTGTGTTGGCATGTGCAATGTGGATGGTTTGATCAAGAGGAGTGTTGTTCAGTGGTTCCTTGTCCCCATGTGTCTTTTGGTCCTGTACATACTCTAAAAATTTCTTGAAGTCATCATGAGTAAATGATATGCTCCCACCAGAACTTGGCTGCTGGAGTGTCACTGGACCTTGAGTGTTGTTCACATAGCTCTGGTTCTTGGGCCTTGGCTTAAATCCAGGTGGATAGCCACGCTTTTTATAACACCTATCCTCTGTATGTCATGTGAATCCACAGAATGTGCACACAGCCTTCTTGTTCCCTCCTGTGAATTTCTTATAGTTTTGCTGTCCAATATTGGTTCTAGCCATCAATACACTACCAGCTGCATTGGTTTCTCCGGATTGGAACATCTGACTGCCAGAACCAGATGAGGTAATGTGGAATTGCCTCTCCTGCTGTGCTATCATAGAGTATGTTTCACTGACTTCTGGCAATGGTTTCATCAACATAATTTGGTTTCTTGCACCTGTATACCTGTCATGCAATCCAATCAAGAAGATAGACAACTTGTCCTTCTCCATTTGCTCATTTATTGTATCAATTTTCCTCCCACATTCACACCTAGTATTACAATTGCAGAACACAGAAGGTCGAAGTATGTGTAATTCATCCCATAATAGCTTTTGTTGAGTGAAGTATTCATTCAACGAACTGTCTCCCTGCTTAGATTGATAGATTTTGCATTTGATTTCGGCGATCCGGAACAGATCTTGTTGACTGAACCTCTTCTTAAGATCGTTCCACACTCCATATGCTGTATCGATCCAGAGGACACTCCGGCCGATCATCGGAGACAAGGAACGAACCAGCCAGGTAACTACCATATTGTTACAGCGTTTCCAATAGGGATATCTTCGATCATCTCTGGACGGTTTGGTGATGGTGCCATCTACGAACACAAGCTTATTCTTGCATGATAGCGCCATGGACATAGCCCTAGCCTAGGGATGATAGTTCGGACCTTCTAAAGGCATAGACACCAGCTCCAAAGCCGGATTCTCGCTTGCATGCATAAAATAGGGATTTGATTGTGTTTGTGAATCTAAAGATACCTCAGTCATGAGAGGAAGCGGAGCAGGCGGAGCAGGCATCGTTGGTGCCGGAGTTCCAGATGCCGGTCCTCCTGCTGCATTATCGATCGGAGTTGTTCGTGTGCCGATCGGCGGCCACCCTGCCATGGTGGTGGTTCTTCTGGAAAGCGAAGTCTCCTTACAGGAGCTCTGATACCATATTGCGAATTAACAAAGGAGAAATAGAATGCACAGAAATTGGAAAGAAGGAATGTATTTCATTATTCAACAGAGAGAATATCAGACTGTTTATATATTTACAAGAGGAATGGTGAGCGGGAAATATAACAAAAATAACAAACTTGGTTGGAGGTGGTTAGGCCAGGCTGTCAATGCTGCAAATATCAATCCCCTGAAAGGCTACATGAGTTGGTTGACTTTCTTGAGAAATCTAAGAATCAATTCAACGCTGATGAACACGTGCCGATGCAAGACTGGAAAGCAAGGCTTAAAGATAATGCCCTGGGAATAGAAGATGAAATTGAATCGAAAGTAATTGAGAGTTGTAGCCGAAGGCAGAGTGCGAGTACTGTTGCTGAAAGCTTTCGTTACACCTTGGACTATGCAATTGAAAGGTTCGCAAAGTGTTGTGTGAATGAAGATTTGCAAGTGAATGATATTGTTTCATCGAGGGAAAGGATTGAAAGTAGTAGTTCCTCCCTTCCCATAGCCTCAGAGCTTCAGAGCACAATGGTAGGGCGCACTACTGAATTGGAACGTATCAAATGGTTACTCCTTGAAGACAACTCTGAAGAAAGACTGGTTGTACCAATTGTTGGCATGGCGGGAATAGGTAATACAACTTTTGCTAGAAGCTTGTACCAAGATCCATTAGTTAAATCTCATTTTGATGTTCTTGCCTGGACAACTGTGTCTACGTCTGCAACATATGACATACGTAGAATGCTTCGTGAGCTTTTGTTGTGTATTGATCCAAAACAGAAGGAATTCATCCATCAAGTCAATGACGACCTACCTGACCTAGTACATAAAGGGTTACTTGGTCGGAGGTATTTGATTGTTCTAGATGACATATGGGACAGTAACCATTGGGAGGAAATTAAAAGGTCATTTCCAGAAGATCCTACTGGGAGTAGAATATTGTTGACCAGTCGACATGCTGAAGTGTCCATGCACGCAAGATCGTATAATAATTGTTCTTTAAACCTGCCTTTCTTTAATTCAGAAGAAAGTTGGGATTTATTTCTTCAAAAGATTCATCTTGCAAGATTGGGCTCAGAAGTTCAAGCAATATGGAGACACATTGTCAATTATTTCAAGGGATTTCCCTTTGCAATTGTTATAGCTGCTAGACTTGCACAAACTGTTAGGAATAAATTGTAATAGATTTTGATATGCCATATTGTAAATCGTAGATCTCCAATTTTATTTTGGTTAGACTAGTCAAGTCATAGACCAAGAAAGGGAAAAATAAATTCATTAGTTGAGGAAATGGATGAAGAAGATATAAAGCCTAAAATCAAGAATTTGCCTAGAGAAAATGGCAAACAAAAGAGGAAGATGTATGCGTATGATATTCAAGAAGAAATCCCTCAAGAAATCCCTAAGAAGAAAGAACGTGACTTAAAGTTTGCATGAAGCTATCTTGAAGATCAAGCATCTATGGAAAGAAAGGAGTACACCAAGTGAAACAAGAAAATAACCAAAAATTTGTAAGGATGAGTTGGTAGAAGTTTGAATTATTATATGCAAGGTCACAGGTTTGAATCTCACATCTCACATATTTTAAAGAAGCCAGATAAAGTATGAGGCGATGGTTTGGCCGAAGGAAAGCAATTTGCAAAGTCAATGGGATGAGATTTCCGTGAAGGTGTTAGGAATAAAGTGTAATGGTTTTCATATGCAAAATTTGTATTTGTAGATCCCCCAATTTTATTTATAGGTCTTGTAGAGTCTTAGACCGTGATCGGGAAATTATTTAAATCTGAAAAGAGAAAAAAAGAGGAAGATGCATGAAAATAGAAGAAGATATCAAGCCGAAAATTAAGAATTTGTCTGGAGAAAATGACAAATTGAAGAAGAAGATGAATGATATGAAATCACGTCAATGCTACTCAAAGAAGATATCCCAGAAGAATTTTCGTGAAGAAAATTAATATTGGAAGAATGCATGAAATTGACTTGGAGATCAAGCATCTATGGAAAGAAAGAAGTACATCAAATGTGATTGGAAATTTAATTAAAAGTTGTATGGACGAAGTGGATGATGCTTGATATATTATCCGAAATGGCTCAAGTTCAAAACTTACCATCAATAATTTTAGAAGTCAAATTAAATTAATCTGATGGAGTTGGGCGCTAGTTTAAGCTTTGGGCGCCAATTACAAGTGGAAATTGGGAAGCAATTTCACTTGGGTGGCAATTGAAATGCAATTGGGAAGCAATGAAATCAATTGAAATTGGGAAGCAATGAAATCAATTGAAATTGGGAGCCAGTTTCAGAGAAAATTGAAATCAATTGAAATTGGGAGCCAGTTTAACATGGGAATCAATTCAAGATATCAATTGAAATTGGGAGCTAGTTTCAGAGAAAATTGAAATCAATTGAAATTGGGAGCCAGTTTCAGAGAAAATTGAAATCAATTGAAAGGAGCAAGTTTAACATGGGAATCAATTCAAGATGGGAGCAAGTTTAACATGGGAATCAATTCAAGATGGGAGCCAATGTAGAATTGAAATTGGGAGCCAATTGAGGTTGTAGTAGGGGACCGATTCAAAGAAGACATGGAGATCAATGGGATGCAATTTCAAAGTTGGGGACCGATTCAAAGAAGACATGGAGATCAAATTGAATGCAATTTCAAAGTTGGGGACCGATTCAAAGAAGACATGGAGATCAAATTGAATGCAATTTCAAAGTTGGGGACCGATTCAAAGAAGACATGGAGATCAAATTGAATTGAGATAAAATTCAATACAGAAGTCTGGGAGCCAATTTCAAAGTCAAAGTCAACAATTCAAATTGGGAAGCAATTGAAAGCACCAAAATTGGGAAGCAATTGGAAGCACCAGGAGTAGATTGGGAGCCAATTGCAAGTCAAAGTCAATTGGGGGCCAATTACAATGGAGAAATTCAAATTGGGTGCCAATTACAAGCCAATTGAAATTGGGTGTCAATTACAAAGGAGAAATTCAAATTGGGTGGAAGTTCAAAGCCAGTTTGAAGTCTGAGAACACCCAGACGTGAGAATGAAGAAGATGAAGATGAACTTACAGTGAAAATATTCTCACAAGGAAAAATACTAGTTTAACTAGTATGGGATTAAATTGAAGAATATTTTTAAATCCCAAAGATACAAGGACCACTTCAGAGCTAATCAGAGAAGCCATTCTACACCAAAACTGAGACCCAGATATTTCCACTCAACGTAAAACCGGAGGAATATCAGATGAAGTTTGGGAGCTCATTTACATGGAGATGAAACTCCATCAACGGCTAGCTTATCTCTTTCTGATATTTTTGCAGAAGATAAGATAAGATCTCTGACAAAAGATACAAGATTTCAAAAATGAGAGCGTCTCTTTCCAACGGACAGATTCTCATTACCAGCTATAAAATGATGAAGATATGAAGACTTGAAGAAGGGGGAACTCACGAACAAGAGAGCAGAAAATTCGAATCCATAAAAGGGATCGAATAGAGCAATTAAGCTAAAAAGAGCATAGAGCAAAAATCTCATTTTGGTAAAGAGCATATCAAAAATCTTCAAGTGAGAAGTGAGAAAAGAAAAAGAACTCAGAGAGCTTCAAAGAAAATATTCTGAGAGTTCTTAAACAGAGCAAAACAGAGCATAAATATCAAGTGCTTTACTTGATATATTCAAAGAGAGAAAACACTCAGAGCTATCAAGAGAAATCATTCCAGAGTGTTTATCTTCATCAAAGAGACCTGTGCATCATTGAAGATCAACTACAGAGTCTCAGAAGTTGGAAGCAAGACAACACTTGTTTTGGAGCAAAACAAGATAAGGGAGGAAAGTAGCATGGAGCTGTGAAATCCTGGATTGTCACACGGAGCTGTGAGATCCGAAGCAGCAGTGTCGGAGGCACTGGGCGTGATTGGTGTGGGCTTGGTGATCAAAGCACCAGATCACGAGATACGTTTCTACCGGAGTGTGGAAGACGGGGGGAAAGTAACGCGGAGTCGTGAAATCCTGGGATAGTAGCGCGGCGACGTGATACCCAAAGCAGCAGTGTGGTGTCACTGGGCGTGATTAGTGCGGGCTTTGTGATCAAAGCACTAGATCACGGAAATTCATTGTATCTTGGAACCAAGGAGTGGTAGATATAGTGAATTGGCTCTTGGAGAAAAGAGCAAGTGGAGTAGGAGGATTACACCACCTCGCGAACCACTATAATTGTCTTGTGTTCTTTGCCGCTACATATTCGCTCTACACGAGATATACTGCTCACACAATCTCACACACACTTTATGTTTATTTATTTCCGCTGTGCACCATACTCTAACAATCTAGTTAAGAGTTTTGGTTTATCTCTGGCTTAGCAATTGTTGTGCTGTGCGAAAAAGTTTGAAAGTCTATTCACTCCCCCCCCCCCCCCCCCCCCTCTAGACTTTCACCTTACCTCTTTTGGGACCAACAGAAGGGATGAAGTTTCTCAAAATTGATATCCCGAAATTGATATAGGGATGCAATTTCATCTGAAAGTTGAAGTTCAAAATTGATATCTCAAAATTGATACAGGGAAAGCAATTTCAAATTGAAGGGATGAGATTTATAAGGGTCTCAATTCAAATTGGAGATATAAATAGCAAGGGATGAGATTGCAAGTCCAAATCAAGTAAGGGATGAGATTTCAATTGACAAATCTAGCAAGGGATAGAGATTTCATTTCCCAAAATAGCAAGGGATGAAGTTTCACAAGGGAAGAGATTTCCCAAGTCAATTGAAGAGATGAAGTCTGGAAGCAGTATACAGACCCAGACGTGAAGTACAGAGGAAAAATATAAGAAGAAGTTGCAGAAGCAAAAATACTAGTCTAACTAGTAAGGGATTATATTGGAGATTATATTTTGAAGATAAAAATCCCAAGAGGCGTGATCGACACCAAATGGAGATTTTTGGGACGCCATTTTTGCGAGAACTTCTACCTCAACTTGCAGAGAATCTCTGACATATCTGCAATGTTATCTTATCCTCTGAAAAGGCTATACAGCTAGATGAAATTCAAAAATGAGAATGTTTCTCTCCAACGGAAATATTCTCATTACCAGCTATAAATAGATGAAGATTGAAGCTGAGGAAAGCAGAAGCATAGAAGCAAATAAGCAAGAAGCGAAAAGAATAGAGCTAAACAAAGCATACAAAATTAAAAGAAAGCTTTCCATCTCAAGAGCTTAAATTGATATATTCTTTGTGAGATAAACACTCAGAGTGATACAGAGCTTACAAAAGAAATATCCAAGAGTGTTAAAATCTTCATCAACTACAAGAGACTCAGCACACCATCGAAGATCATCTACAGAGTCTCAAAGTTGGAATCAAGGCAAAACTTGTTTTGGAGCAAAACAAGGGAAAGGAGGAAAGTAACACGGAGTTGTGAAATCCTGGATTGTCACACGGAGTTGTGAGATCCGAAGCAGCAGTGTCGGAAGACATTGGGAGTGATTAGTGCGGGCTTTGTGATCAAAGCACTAGATCACGGAAGATACGTTTCTACCGGATCGTAGAAGACGGGGGGAAAGTAACGCGGAGTCGTGAAATCCTGGGAAAGTAACGCGGCGACGTGAAACCCGAAGCAGCAGTGTTGGAGGCACTGGGCGTGATTAGTGTGGGCTTGGTGATCAAAGCACTAGATCACGGAAATTCATTGTATCTTGGAACCAAGAAGTGGTGGATATAGTGAATTGCTCTTGGAGATAAGAGCAAGTGGAGTAGGAGGATTACACCACCTCGCGAACCACTATAAATTGCCTTGTGTTCTTTACTGCTTTCTTTACTTACTACTTTTGCTTGCTTCTCACGAGAATAATCTTGACACAATCTACACGCACACCGTATCGTTTATTAATTTCCGCTGTGCACTATACTCTAACAATCTAGTTAAGAGTTTTGGTTTATTTCTGGCTTAGCAATTGTGGTATTGTGCTAAAAAGTTTGAAAGTCTATTCACCCCCCCCCCCCCCCTCTCTAGACTTTCACCTTACCTCTTTTGGGACCAACAATTGGTATCAGAGCAGGTGCCTATCCGAGTCAGATTTTGTCTTTAACTGATACCAACAATTGGTATCAGAGCCTGTAGCCTATTTGAGTCAAATTTGTTTCAAAGCAAGTTGTCTCTTTGGGTCAACTTGTTTCTGACTGCTAGGCAGATCCATCTTACCCAGTGTGTGTAAATTGGATTATTTGTCTCTCGTATCAACCGAGAAGATGAATAAAGATTTAGCTCAAAATCTATTATTCTCGCTTGATAAATTTGATGATTGGAAAGTTCGTATGCAGGTTCATCTATCAGCTTTACACGATGAAATGTGGGAAGTTATTTCCACTGGCCTGATCGAAATATTGAAAGTAAATAGGCTTTTCTTCTATCTCCGGATGCTCAACAATTCGTACCAAAGCCAAAACCGGAATGGACATCGGATGATAGAAAGAGGAACAATCTTGACAACATTGCCAAAGATATTCTGTTCAAAGCCATTGATGATACAATATTCCCAAAGGTTCGAAAATGTACAAGTGCAAAAGAAATTTGGGATACTCTCATCAAGATCGGAGAAGGAGATGAACAAGAAAAAGATAACAAGCTCACTATTGCTATGAAGAAGTTCGAGGACTTCAAAATGCTCTCAAATGAATCCATTGTTGATATGGAAGCTCGAATGATCAAAATCCTTGGAGAAATTAATGACCTTGGCAAAAATATTAGCCAAAAGGAAATTAATCTCAAAGTTCTACGAGGCTTACCATCTACATGGGACATGAAGGTTATGGCTATGCGAGATCACCGAGATCTAAGAATATTGTCAACCGACAAATTATTTAGTGATCTTAAAGCATATGAGTTCGAGATGAAGGCCAAAGATGATGAAGTTCATGAAATTCGAAATCCAGCTCTAATGGCCGAACAACCATCATCCTCCAGGTCAGTAGATAATATTGATTTTATAACTGACGAACAATTTGCTCTTTTTGTTAGAAAATTCAAAAGGTTCATGCGAAAAGGAGACAACAAAAATTCTGCTCGTGGAAAATTTGTCTCTCGCACGACACAAGAAGAGAAAGTCGAAGAAAACAATAATTTATGCTACAATTGCCGCAAACCCGGACATTTCAAAATAAATTGTCCGTATCCGATCGTTAGCAAGTATCAAGGCATAAATGTTGAATCTACACCGAATAAATCCGAAAGCAAAGATCGAAGGTTCAAGCGTGACAAAAGAAAAGCTCTCATTAGCAATGAACCAAATGAAAATGATGAGTCGAATGGATTGTCATCAAGTGATGAAAGCTCAAGTTCGGAAGATGACACGGCTCTAGTATGCAAATCAATTGAGTTGAGTTCAAGTGAAGAATGCTTTATGGCTCTTGGAGCAGAGGAAGAAGAGGTAACATCTAATTCTTTCAATTCTGTTATTTCCTCTTTTTCTCGTGAATCTATTGGCAGTCTAATGCGAGATTGTCAAGAGATTATGCTCACCCATCCTCAACTCAAGGAGCGCAATAATATTCTAATTCTTGAAAAAGAAGAGATGAATAAAAAATTGCAAGATGCTTTACTTGAAGTGAGTAACTTGAAGAGTGAAAATATTCAACTTCAAGAAGAGTGCAAAGCAAGAGAGGTTAGAGAACATAACCTTCGGGCTACCATTGCTACGTTTACTAATTCGTCCAAAATTATGGATAAAATGGTAAACATGCAAAAGCCATCAGGAGATAGAACCGGAATCGGTTATGACTCCACATGTTCTCAAACCCCTCCGAAACTGACTAATCTTACTACTCCTTTAACTAATAAAGTGCAAGTGGTAAAATTTGTTAAAAGTCAGTATAACACAATGAGACAAGGACTTGGCTATCATGAGAAAGCAAAGTTGAATGTTGAAAGGCCGAAACAGTTCAATAATACGGCAAAACAACAAAAATTCTTCAAGCAAAGATATGCCAAAGAGTCAAGTGCAAAAAGAATTTTTAGAAAAGAGGGAAGCTTTTCTAGAAATAGAGATGGAAGATTTTATTCCACTCAAAAGGATTGGCTGTGTAAATCTTGTTTTAATGCTTCTTATAGACCAAAGCAACAATCCTCTTCCCAGGTGCCTAGATTTAAAAATGTTTTTCAAAATCCGGCGCTAAAAATGTTTTCAAGAGTTAATTATGATTATCGTGTTTCAAATGGTTACAAACCACCTTATCTTAATTCAATAGGATCTAGGTGGGTTTGGTTACCAAAAATCACTAACAGCAAAGGACCCAAGCAAGTGTGGGTACCTAAAACCAACTAATCTTTTTTGTAGGATGTTTGGTACATCGACAGTGGTTGCTCATGCCACATGACTAGAAATAAATCTTGTCTAGTGAATTTCAAGAAAACCGATGGACCAAAAGTTATATTTGGAGGAAATCAAAATTATGGAACTACAAAAGGAGTTGGTACAATTGAAAGAAATGGTTTAAAGATCGAAGATGTTTCATTTGTTGAAGGCCTAAAATTCAATTTGTTGAGCACTAGTCAATTTTGTGATAAAGGCTATCTTGTGGAATTTTCCAAAGATAATTGCCTAATAAAAAATGAGCTCTCAAACGAAGTTGTGCTCACTGGAAAAAGGCGAAAGAACATCTATATTGTTGATTGGAGCACAAGCAAAGATTCAGTATGCTTAATGGCCAGAAATTCGAATGAAGCAAATTGGGAATGGCACAGAAAGCTCAACCATTTAAACTTCAAGACTATCAATAAGCTTGTAAAGAAAAATCTAGTTGAAGGACTACCAAGTATTATCTTCAAAAAGGACCAAGTGTGTGATGCATGCCAACGCGGGAAGCAAATCAAATCATCATTCAAGTCTAAGACGCACGAATCAACATCAAGACCGCTAAGCTTGTTACACATGGACTTATTTGGACCGGTTGATCCAATAAGTGTAAGTGGTAAGAAATATACTCTTGTTGTTGTTGATGATTTTTCCATGTACACTTGGACCGTGTTTCTCAAGAAGAAAAATGAAGTTGAACAAGTGTTGCCGAAGCTGTTGAAGCAACTACAAAATGAGAAAGAATTGCAAATATCAAAAATCCAAACCGATCGTGGAACCGAGTTCGTGAACAGCGTTATACAAGCTTTTTGCAATTCACATGGAATTTCTCATCAATTATCTGCCGCTAGAACACCACAACAAAACGGTGTTGCCGAAAGAAGAAACCGGACGCTTAAAGAAGCCGCACGAGTGATGATTAGTGCAGCCGGTCTCTCGAAATGATATTGGGCGGAAGCTATCAACACAGCTTGCTATACGCAAAATCGAAGCATGATCCACAAGCAGTATAGCAAAACGCCATATGAGCTATATAAAGGGAGAAAACCAAATATTGGTTATTTTCATATTTTTGGATGCAAGTGCTTTATTCATATTAATGATAAATTGCATCTAAAAACTTTTGATGAGCGTGCAGATGAAGGAATTTTTCTAGGATATTCGACTACCAGCAAAGCATTCAGAGTGTTGAACAAAAGAACAATGGTGGTTGAAGAATCCATACACGTGGTATTTGATGAAAAATCACACGTCAATATTGATGCTCTGGACGAAAATGGCGAAAATATTGAACAAAATGGTAACAAGTGTCATATTGATTTTTGTGATACTGATGATACGTGTGAAGAAAATATTTTGCAGGGAATGGATGAGTTGGAAATTAATTCTCTAGAAAATCCCATCTCTCATCCAGTAAGAAGTGGAGTGTGGGATGCAATTGGTATTGAAATTGCAAATCAACCCAGGGATACAGTTGAAGTGGAAATTGCAAATCACCCCCTGGATGCAATTACTGGAGAAGTTGGATATCTAGAAAATGAAGCAGAAATTTGAACCAGTGCTACCTCTTCTCAACCAGTGAATCCACCCAGCACCATGCACCCTTTTGAACCAGACTTAAGATGGCTCAAAAATCACCCACAAGAATTAGTGATCGGAAATGTTCGAGATGGCGTGAAAACAAGATCATCTACCATGGAAGCATTGTTCACATGTTATCTATCTCAGATTGAACCAAAAGAAGTGGACGAAGCTCTAAATGATCCAAGTTGGATTGACGCCATGCAAGAGGAACTCGATCAATTCAAAAGAAATGACGTTTGGGAACTTGTTCCAAGACTAATGAACCACAATGTTGTAGGAACTAAATGGGTCTTCCGGAACAAAGCAAACGAAGAAGGCGTGATTGTTAGGAATAAAGCAAAGCTCGTTGCAAAAGGATACTCTCAAGAAGAAGGAATAGATTTTGATGAAACCTTTGCACCGGTAGCCAGACTCGAAGCTATAAGGATTTTCCTAGCCTACGCCGCACACAAAGATTTCACTGTTTATCAAATGGACGTGAAAAGCGCATTCTTGAATGGATTACTCGAAGAAGAAGTTTATGTCGAACAACCCCCAGGTTTTGAGGTAAAAGGCGAAGGTGATAAAGTCTACAAACTTAAAAAGGCATTATATGGGTTGAAACAAACACCTAGAGCTTGGTATGACACCTTGTCAATGTTCTTGATAAGCTGTGAATTCACCAAAGGCCTTGTTGACAAAACTCTCTTTAGAATTCAAGATGGTGATCATATTTTATTAGTGCAAATATATGTTGATGATATTATTTTTGGAAGCACTAACAATTCTTTGTGTGAGAAATTTTCGAAGCTTATGCAGAATAAATTCGAAATGAGCATGATGGGTGAATTGAATTATTTCTTGGGCTTATAAGTCAAACAATTGAAGGAAGGAATATTCATCAATCAAGCAAAGTACACCCACGACTTGATAAAGAAGTTTGGCCTTGATGGAAAATCATCGATCAAAATTCTAATGAGTACATCAATAAGGCTAGACAAAGACGAAGATGGAAAAGATGTCGAACAAACGAAATATAGAGGAATGATTGGTTCACTACTATACCTCACTGCAAGCAGGCTGGACATTTCTTATGCTGTGGGAGTGTGTGCAAGATTCCAAGCAAATCCAAAGGAAAACCACCTCACCGCAACAAAGAAAATCATAAGATACTTGAAGAGCACAATCAATGTTGGATTGTGGTATCCTAAAGGTACAGATTTTACGCTAACTAGTTTTTCAGATGCGGATTTTGCAGGTTGCGAAATAGACAGAAAAAGCACCTCCGGAACTTGTCAATTCTTGGGAGGAAGGCTTGTTTCTTGGTTTAGCAAAAAGCAAAATTCCATCGCAACTAGTACCGCCAAGGCCAAATATATTGCTGCAGGAAGTTGTTGTGCTCAAATTTTGTGGAGCAACAATTGAAGGATTACGGAGTGAATTGCGACGATATTAGCATATTTTGTGACAATACAAGTGCGATCGCTATCACT